AACGCCTGCTCTCTCCGCATCAAGGGGCGCGATCCCGGGTCTCTGCAGACCACGTTCGCACGTGCTGGCAACTCCGGCATGTACTGCAAAGCGGGCTCATGTGCTATTCAGCACCGCAGTCACAACCTTTACATTCCGGGAACCCGTGGGCGAAGGTTGGATGGGCTCGGCTAAGACGCTGCCGCGTTCCAGCCGCACTGCCGGCGCCCGACCGCGATGAGCTTCTGGACTGGGTGAACCAGCAGCTGCCGGCGCGGCCCGTGGCCAACTTCGGCACCGACTGGAGCGACGGGCTGGTGCTGGGCGCGCTGGTCAACGCGTTGGCGCCGCGCGCCGTGCCAGCCGACCAGCTCAGCGGCGACAACCCCGTGCACAATATTGCCACGGCGCTGCGGCGTGCCCGGGACCTGCTCAAGGTCGAGCCGGTGAGGGACCGGCGCCGCCCGGCCGACGTCGAGCGCTGGGGCGGACCTCTCTGGCAATCACTGTCGCGGGTGCCCGGGGCTGCTGGGGATCACTGTCGGGTCCTGCTAGCGTGGTCTGGTCGAGTGAAATCGGACGAGGTGTCCGGCGTTCACGGAACGACTCAGTGGCAATAACATAATGCACGCTAATGTGGTTGATTCACCATGACATTGCAATGCAACGTATCGACTGCCGACCACAATTTTCCAGCAATGACATCACTGTCCGTTTTGACTGAGCGTCATGGCACCGTGTCGAGCGCCCAGCGCGCCTGGCCGCCGCTCTGTGCCACGGGATGGCGAGCCGTGACGTCCCTCGTCGAGTTGTGACGTCATCTGTCCCCCGCCGCAGACACTGTCGGTGATGGACGTGATCTGGGCGACGGACGAAGCGCAGCTGATGTGCTACCTCGCCCGGCTGCGCGAGTCGGCCGGCCGGCTGAAGCGGCGCTTCACGCTGGTGAAGACGGCCTCCTTCATGGCGGACGAGCCGCCGCCGCCGCCGCCGACCGAGTGCACGGCCTCGGGGCGCGGTCTCTCTCGCGCCGAGTGCGGCTGCCTGGCCGACTTCATGGTGCGGTTCGGACGCGCCAGTCGGCTGGATCTGCTGCTGGAGCTGCGCTCGGACGCCGGCGACTTCTTCACGCAGAGGATCACGGCCCGCTCGCCGCCGCGCCTGCGCGTGAAGGACAGCCTACGGGCGCCAGCCGGCGGCCTGGTGCAACGTAACATCCCTCTGGGGTACTATGTGGCCGGCAGGAGCGTGGCGGTAACGTACCGACCGCCGTCAGCCGGCAGGCTCAGCATCAGCCTCGTCTGGCACGGCCACCACCTGCCCGGCAGCCCCTTTATGGTGGACGTGGCGGCGGGGGAGGCGGAGGAGGCGCCAGCGGGGGCGGAGGTGGCGTCAGGGCCGGTGGAGGTAGAGGACGAGGTGTCGGGGGAACGAGATGATGAGATGGAGGAGCCGAATGCATCGGTTCAGCTGCCCTCGCCGGACGGGGACACCGCTCAGACGGAGGAACCGGCGTCTCCTGCGTCCGCTGCGGAGATGGAGCGGGCCGGCACTCCACCTCACCGGCTGACAGTGCTGAGAGAGCTGTCGAGGGAAAGTGACGAACCACCCACCCGCACGCAGACGGATGCAGCGATTTGGATGTCGCCGCCGACCGCAGAAGGGGAGCGATCAGCGCCTTCTGCGTCTGCTGCTGAGACGGCGACGGCCGGTGACATCCGTCGACACCTGCCTATTCTCAGAGAGGTGTCAAGGGAAGACGAATACCTACTGGCGACGCCGACTTGGCAGAGGGAGGACGCACCCAATTCCATTGCAGAGCATGGGAAAGATGACTACCAGGAATGTCTGCTGGACCTCTTTCACTCAGCTGCGGCGAACGTTCATTTAAACGGAGACGAAATGGAAGAAAACGGCGCATCAACTGAGGCAGTGGCCCCTGGTGTAACACTAGGAAATGTCTATGCCTCCTACGATTTGCTAATGCCCGAATTAGCCAGTCACGACGACAAATATCGCCATGTTGACGCACCGCGGAATAAAAACATCACACAATCGGACATCAGCCCGGAAGACAGTTTCCAGAAACACCTCATCCGCGACACAGCGGAACGCGAGAGCCGAGATGCACCGGTTGCCGGGGCAACGACGCATCGTGGCATGCCATGCATCGTTCAATCACCGCCCACGGCTATGGAATCTAAGGCGGCGACGGCGGAAGACACCGCGGAGGAGGGCCCGGCACGCCCTGTCGTCTCGCCACGCACGTCCGACGGTAGTATTCCCCAGGCACATATTGACAATCCGTCGTGCAGCACACCAATTACGCCGCGGGTATGTGACGGATGTCGGTCATCCGGCGAGACGCTATCGGACGCCGTCATTTCCGGTCAGGCGGCCGAGCGTGAGCGCGTGTTGACAGACTTGTCAGGCGCTGATACGTCGCCAGTTCCCGACCGCTGTCGAGACGGGGAGGATGTTCGGCAGTGCGCTGCACGTGACAAGTCAAAGGGCGTATTCGGGGCAAAGTGCCGGTGTAACCTAACCTTGGCATGCGCTGACGACATCCAGAGCGATGGCCAGGAGGCGACCGTGACGGAAAATGCCTTACTTGAAATGCCCGAAATGTGTGCTCGTGGTCAGAAAGCAGCAGGCAACGAAAGCAAAGAATACTTAGAAAATATGTCAGCTTTACCGTCGACGTCACCTAATGAGGTGAACTTTTGCGGTCTGACAGACCATGCAGAGCAGGCTGGTGGTGGCGCACGGGGTGGTGGCAACATGAGCAGCCCCACGGAGGTGATAAGGAGCATAGAGAGCAGATCACAAACGCATTGCGCACCTCCAGTTCTGGGCTCACCAGAGCACGTGCTGAATCCCGAAGAACAGAAACCCGATGCAGATTCTGAGCTATCATTGCCCCATGGATGCGCCGAGGGAATGGAGCAAGATGCGCCCTTTGGTGGTGAAGAATCCGAACGCGACAGCCAATTCCAGTCGTCTCAAAACCCATCCTCATCTGAACGCATTTTGCCACTCGAAGCTCTTCGTCCTAACACCACGGCAGACTCAGAGCTCCCTTGCAAAAACGCAGCACGTCCGGAACCCGGTGGGCCGGGCGTTGTAAATCACCCCGCGACCGTTGAGTGCACCCATGCGGTCACTGGCGATACGGCGTCTGAGGAAGAGCCCATCCCTGCGACAAGCACGGGCGGTTCGTTCACAGACGACTACCCCGCCTCCGCGTCGTCCGAGCCACTGGCCGTGAAGTCTGGCGCAATTGGTGATTTATCTCTGCCGACGCACGTCTCGGACGATACACGAGAGTGTAATCCTGCCGTCAGCCGGGCGCCCGCCTACGGAGGGCTGGGGGCGGAGGTCCCCCATGGCGCCAGCTCGCCAGAAACGGTGGAGGTTTGTGAGAGGCTGTGCCACGATTATATCCAACGTGACGCGCGCGGGTCATACGTCACCAGTGAGGAACCGCAAGCGGACCAAGATGACCCAATAAAGCAAGCTGATAGAGACAAAACTGTTGAGGGCTATTCTTCCCCAGTGAAACATGAACACACCGACGAGAAAAGTTTGGCGACTGAACCCGGTGTATGCCTCCGCTCAGATGCCAACCATAACTTGTTTGAGTCCGCCCAAGTTTCTGGTTCCCGTGAGGTGCCAGACCACGCAGAGGATCTTTGGAGACCTGGTCGAAGATGGAGCACTTCTCGACTTCGAGAATGTAATCAGCATAAAACCGACGATGCAACTTGGGACACTTTAGAGGGGACACTTGGTGCAGAGGTAGGAGCCAACGAGGCAAATAAGTGGTCGCGTGAACAGACAAGCATGGAAAGTTTTGCAATCGGTCACCCTCGAGCGATTACTGACACGGAGGCGTCAAACACCTGTGTGACATCTGAAGACCAGGCACTCATTCAAATGTTGCCCAAGCAGTGTGAGCCGGTTCACGGGCCGCTGTTCGATCACCCCGCGCCGAACGCCTGGCAGCAAGAGCAGCCCGATGCGCCGCTCGCGAGACAGCCGGCTGGCACCCTTTCTCCGGACAGTTCAAAGTACAGCGGTCAGTACACCAGGCTACAGACGCCCCTGGAGGCCAAGCACGGGCTTCACGACACTCAGGCGCGCACCAAGGTGTACCTGGGCGCGGCGGCGACGCGCGTGCGTCAGCCGGCCGCCGTGTGGACCCGGCTGCTCCCGTCCGGCGCTTCCGAGCCGGGCCTGCCGACGCCCGTCGAATCCGGCGGCGATGAGCGGTCGGCCGCGGGGTGCGTCGGCCCGACCGAGCCCGGCGGTCGGGGGCAGGCGGCGGCGCACGCACCACCGGCCCCCCAGCAGCGCCGGGAGGTCGGCGAGCCGACCTGGCGTGGGGCGAGCGCCTCCCTCGACTACGACCCCGCCGCCGCGCGCGCGGCTGTGTCGCACGCAGTTCAGCACGCTGCGCATTCGGGCCGTCGGAGGGATGGAAGTGGCGACGTGTCCAACAGCGGCACTTTTGAGCTCGGTGTGAGTGTGGCAGGGGAATCCATACAGCCCGGCCCAAGTGACGAGGACCATGGACTTCTGGAAAATGACGTCATTCCAGACGCGCCTTTGTTTTCGGCAGAGAGCGCAGAGAGCGTGCCCTTGTGCCGTGCTGACGATGACATAGCTGACATCCAAATGGGCAGTGCGAATGACAAAGATGCACCTGACAGCCTCTTGCCCAAATCCGCGCCGCCAAAGAGGCCGGACGCATTTGAAGAGATCATTGACATTCAGGAGTGTGTACCACATAATGCCATTTTCAGCCGAGATGTCCACCAGCCACAATTTCAACATCAGCCTGTAGAGTTCCGAGACGTTAAAGGCAGGAAGGAGTTGTTTGTGATCGTGAATGAAAAGCCGGAGGGAAGTCCGAACCCGACGGCAACAGACTGGCCAGAGGATGACGCGTTTGAACAGGGGACCAATCTTAATTCGCCGTACGCACGCGTTGTCGCTGATGTCAGCTGGGAAGAGGATATTTTGCCAGACGTACCTCGAAATTTGCGCCAAGAGACAGAGACTGAAGATGATCCATGGAAGGGTGTGCGTCAAAAAGGGGGAGTGTACGGAAAGGGTTCTGATGCACAGGTTCACGCGTCAGCGAAACACACCGATTCTGAATCAGAATGCAGTCATGAACCCTTTAACGTCTCTCTCTGCAGTGAAAGGTCACCTGGAAAGCTAAGGGAAGACATGAACCAAGAATCCGTGGCATCTTATCTCATCGATGCCTGTCACGAGCGGAAAGCCTTGGGAGTGCCTCACGAAGTGAATGCGTTGTGCAATGTGCCACCATGTCTTTCGCTCAGACCAGACAAACACCAGCCGCCCAACAACATCCCAATATTGCCGGACAATTACGGATCGAAATATGTGCCAGTTCAACCCTCTGACGATGAACTGTACGCTGCATACATGACTGATGTGGAGCACTTGCAAGAGAGTCTAACAAAGCAGATGCAGGAGAACAACGAAATCCTGGAAAGAAATGGTGCAATAACAGCGTGGCAGAACCGCTCAGCAGACAGCCCTGGCAGGGCAGGCTCCGCTGAGCTATCTATCGACTCACCTGCGGCTGACACAGACCGCGTCCCAATGACACCGACACTCGAGCACGGCAGACGCAGTCCCGACACTGAGGCCGACACCCCTGCGGCCGTGCGCGAGGCGTCGAGCAAGAGCGGGCGGCGCGCTGTCGACGACGAAAGCAGGCTGGTGTCGATAGACACCGTGTACTTTGTGCCCGGCACGCCGCCGCCGGTCGGCAGGACGCCGGTGCTGCTTAGCTGCGTCCCCCGAGATTCGGATCTCCCTCGAGATCCGGATCTCGGTGAGCCGGTCGCGCCCACCGCTCGAAGTCCCGGCGAAGCGGCCACGACTGCTAGTCCGGACCGGGGCGAGTCGTTCGCTTCCGCCGCCCTGGCCACGGGAGAGGGGGTGTGCTCACCAGCGCAGGCAGGACTGGACTTGCGCGAGTTAAGTGACGCCGTTTTTCCACGCGAGGGCGCAGCCGTGGAGAATAGAGCTATCGCTCGCCCAAAAAGAGCCAGTGATGCCCGAATGGACACCATGTGGGCATGGGAGGTCACGAAAAGTGGAACCCTGCCGACTGAGAACGGCAGGGACAGCCTTCGCGGTGTGAAGTGTGTCAGCACCGGCGGACGAAATCCTGACGCCAGGAGCCGGCTCCTGATGCCGCCAGCTTCACCGGACGGATACGTGGCTCAACTCATCAGTAGACACTCCCAGGGTGGAGTGGACGACAGTGCTGTCATGCCAAAGGAGACCATGTGGCAGACCCTTTTTCCTCCCACGGAAATCTGCCTCGAAGAACGCAAGAAGATGTTGGAGATAGGAAAAACCTCGGACATGAAACCAAAGGGTACGCAATGATGCAGCTTGTATCATAGACATGGATTCCGACGTCTCGCAAATTGAAAAGGTTTGAAAAGTGATCCTGATCGGAGATTCTGATATCACTAAAACCCGACTTAAATGTGAGGTGCTAACTTTATTTTTGCTACAACTAAATGTAACTTATACATTTACCACAACAATAAACATAAAGAACGTAACCAGCTGCATTCATGTCACGTTTGAAGTTCACATACGTGTTCAATGGCCAATAGTCTGTCTGTCACTATAACTGAGCACTTATTTTCCCCAGCCCAGCCTGTGGTGCGCGTTCACGACGAGGGCCGCGTGGTTCGTCTACGGCGAATGTACGAGCAGCTGAGCGAGTCGGCGAGGCGAGCGAGCGAGCACCGGTCAGATGGCTCGCTGTTCGACTCGCGCGGCTCCTCGCGCAGCATGGTGGACCTGGCCGAGCCTCAACGCCGAGCCCAGGGCGAGTTGAACGCCTCGCTGTTCGGCACCAGAGAGAAGAGCAGGAGCTCCGCCGAGCTGGCGCGCCCCCTAGCAGCGGCACGGACGCCTGCTCCGCTGGAGCCGCCGGCGGAGGAGGAGCACGGGGCGGACGAGCAGGACCGCGCGGTGGCAGCAGCGGCGCGGCGGCAGGCCGTGGACCGCAGCCTCTCTTGCTCAGACGCCGGCCGGCCGGTTCGCGTCGGCCGTTTGCTCTCCTGCTGGGAGCTGTCGAACCTCTCCACGGACGCCAATCACGCACGCTTCGAGGCCATCCAGCGCTTCTTCGAGGGTCTGCGCGAGGGCCGGATCTGCAGCGGCGGCGGCGGCGCGCTGGAGCTGGGCGGCCGCGGCGCGGTCCGGCCCGGATCGGCGCTCTCCTGGCTGCGGCGCCGCTGGCCGGCGGGCGGCCACTACTACTCGCTGCCCGGCCGCTTCGACCTGGGCCTGGCCGGTCTGCGCCGCTCTCTGAGCGCCATGCCGCGCTGCATGAGCCCGCCGTACGACGACGACGACGGTGACAGCCTGGAGTGCGCCGAGCGGGTGGTGCTGGCGGCGCGGCAGGCGGAGCAGCCCGCGCCGGCCTCGCCGCTGCGCGTCATGGACGAGTACCCGTACCTGCCTCAGCGCCGCTCGCGGCCGCGGCTACTCGCGCGCGGCCTGATCCCACGCGACGAGATGCTCCGCCAGGGCTGTGATCGAGTCGTCGTGTTCGGGACGGGCCTCTTCCACGGCCGCGTCGACATCGTCAACAGATTTCAGGTGCGTGTGGGGCGGCGGCAGCGGAGTTGGGATCTGCTTTTGGGATCCTCGGATAGGCCTGATGCATTTTGGTCATTACCACCGATGAGATGTCTGCTTGTCTTGGGTATCCTCATGAATATGGTGGGGATCATTTGGGCCGCATGAGAAGTGTGCCAACCGGATTTTTTTTCTGGAGGTTTCAAACGTTAAGTGAGTATACACAATTAATGTATGTTGGAAATCTTAAACAACCAGATCACTTCACTGTTTTCTAACAGCAAACATAATTCGAAAACAAAGGAAAAGTGTGCCAACCGGATGAGAAGTGTGCCAATCGGAATATTTTCTGGAAGTTGATTTCATTTATGGGGTAGTTGATTTCCTTGATTTCAGGCATTTTCAACCGAATATGCTCCTTTGTTTTCGAATTATGTTTGTTGTTAGAAAACAGTAAAGTGATCTGGTTGTTTCAGATTTCCAACATACATAAATTGTGTATATTCACTTAACGTTTGAATCTTGTCGCATTACTGGTGTGGGAAGCTTTATATTTTCACATCTACGGCAAATCTACCGTTCCGTAGAATAAAAACAGGAAGTTAAATACCCAGCATAAGGGCGCGTCTCTCGTGTATATCGCTCTGGGCCTGGAATAGGGTCCGAGAAGTGAGGATACTATTTCGCCCCTTTGAGAGACTTCATGTTCAATTGGAATACATTGCATGCTAAAAGAGACCCACTTTTCCCTCTTGTTGTGTTTGACGTTATGATTACTTCTCCGCTAATATGCGCATTTTATCAAAAATGTAGACATTCCAGTTATGGATAAGATGGGTGATTGCACTTTACTTGGGATAAAGTGAGGGTAGGATCCTTTAGCAAACTTACCTTATTGCAAAACGCTAGGGGATCTTCATTCTGGCACCATAAGCCCGATGAATATTGTTAAACTCCACACACTGAATGCGGCCCCAGCCTCCCAGCCCAACAGTTGTAGATTTCCAGGGCCCTGCTGGTTTGAGGCATGTCTTTCCTGTCATGTTGGCCCTTTGTTCACGAGTTTCAAACAATTCATACACCTTTGGCCAAGTGAGATAAAGTGCCTGATTAGCAGTCTCTAAATGCAAACAAAAAGAAATGTGTCTTGGAATGTGTGGTATGTGTGGCACACATGAGTTATTTTTCAAATAACTTGAGTACTTCTAAACAATCGGTACGGACAGGTTGCGTGCGGTTTCCAAATATTCCTTTTGCACAATCCTTCCAAAAATTGGAAAATAAGTCAGATGTAAAATTGCCGGCATAGGTGGTAGCAAATTGGCCAATACCATTCTTCACGTTGATTTTGTACGTCGGGCATTTGAAAACAGATCGCAAACTTCTAAGGAAGTATGTTGATCATAAATTACCATCCGACGTGTAGACGATTACCTGCGCAATGAGGAAAACAAAAATGCAATGCCTTCTATGAGTTTGCATGGACTGTACATGCATTTAAATCAGCCCCTGAGAGCCCCGCGCGGGGGACCTGCGAGCCGCCCGTAGACTTCCAGAACAAAGTGCCTGAGCAAGTATCGGCCAACGAGGCGGCGGCCCCATAAGTCTTCCACAACTTCTGGTCGCGTCGTTTTAGGTTTTCTCCAACTGTTCACTTCTCAGGTAAACAGGATCTAATGACGTCCTTGTGATCTCTCGGAGCTGTTCGTGTGTCGCTTGGTTTTATGCTTGGTGGCACAATGGTGGCACGCGCTTGGTGACACAATGGTGGCACGCTTGGCTTGAATCCGAGTGCAGCTGATTCAAGCCAGGCGGACCACCATTCGCTTCCAAAGGGTAAAATGAGGTGAAGGAAGGTCGTCCAGCCGTGCCATGACGCTAACTCCCGTTGGCAATACACTTACAAAGGCATGAACGATGTTGATTGGCTATACGCTGCAAAACGTCTATTAACATTGCTCCGTGGATTTTTAAGATCTCGATAAGACCTTGACCTTGATCAGACCTTGACCTTGACAAGGCCTTGACCTTGACAAGACCTTGAGCATCGTAACACCTTGAGCATGGTAAGATCTTAAGAATGGTAAAGCCTTGCTTCGGCATGACTCTGCACAGCACCAGTAACGGCCGCCCATTCATTGATTGGGGTAGGCTGGATGAAGGATGCATACATACATTGATGGGACGAAAGTGGTTGGGTTGGTTGCATTACCACCGGTCTGCACGGGTGGTTGGGTTGGTTGCATTACCACCGGTCTGCACGGGTGGAAACACGCGGGTGGCAGAGAAAGCAGGCAAGCACCCATACGCATGATAATGCATCATTGCTGCCGTGCAAGAGGGTTTATCGGAGAGTCTTTTCTATCCAACCAGCTCCGGAATATATGTTCACCACACCAGATGAACTGTACCCGGCTCACATCCAGACAAAGCAAGAAGTGGCTTTATATTCCCAAGGCAAACTAATCACGCCCATCGCCAGCCCATACATCTTCGAGAGCATTGAGACCAGCCTCCGGTCACTGCATTTTATGTAGCTTGATTGCGGCTCTCATGAGAGTGCGCAGATGGCTTCTGCAGGGCAATGCGGCCCCCATGAGAGCGCGCCGCTGGTCTCCGCAGACGGACGCGGCGCGCGGCGCAACGACACCGCTCGGAGAGAGCTGCAC